GTGCTAAAAATGTTTCCAATTTTTGTTTATTTTGAGTTGAACTGAAACATTTCTTAAATCTATTTTCTAGGGGGAGTCTCTAGAAATTTTTCAATAAAGTTTTTGGAAAGTGAACTGTTTTGTGAAAACGAGTACATTTTCTGAACATGTATTTCCTGATATTTTACTTGCGTAATTTCTCATCAGTCATAATTCCAATACCTGTTTCAGCTATTCTTCAAACTGCTATTATCACGTCTCTTAAATGAAAATCATTTTCGATGATAATACACTCGTTTGTAATCAAAGTTGTTTTTCTGATAGTTTTTTTCTTTGCTTGATACACTTTTCATGATTATTTGAATATCATAATCTGTAAACTTGTACTTACAGATCTTCATTCATTTCTCTCATTTTATGAATAATCTGATTTTGCATATCACTCCTTGATTGATTGTGCTTCAAAGCTACATATCTTGATCAATTTTTACATGATCATTGTGCTTTATAGCAATACTATTTTGATCAACTGTTTGTGATCAATTGAACATACTACAAAATTTAGGAGGGACTGAGTGCTTAACAGTAATACCTCAATGGAATGTCAGAATCGACAAATCTACCTATGAGGACAACCATATCTGAGTGAGCTTAAACTCAAAAAGGGTTTATTTGCAGAGTTTAAAATGAAAAAGAGAGGGGTAGTTGTTGTAAGCCAAAAGAATTGATGAAAGTTGTGTCACGATTAAAAGATTACAAGAATCATGTTCTAAACTTCAAAATACCGAGCATACCACATAATCTATTAGTACTCAATTCTTTGGAGACTAATATTGAAAAAGGCAAAGCCCAAGCCAATTCTTGTCMCAACCCCACCAGCTTCTCATTTATCTCTTAATAGATAAGTGTTTCAATAACACTTGTGGCATGCAGCTCACCATCTATCAATTTTTCATTCAAAGAAAGTTTATATTGAAACAGAAGGATATATGTCCCCCCCTTCAAGTCTTTTTGATCACATATTGAATCTGATAAATTTGTATAGTCCGTACGGTTTATCTTTTTGAGCCTAAACAGAAACATATGTTGCTTTATTTTTCTACACTACAGAGATTTTGCATTTTATATGTTATTTTGCCGAAACTTTCATAGATTTCCTTTTATAAGATATCGATGATTGAATGGAAGACCTGGTGAGATGAACCTCAAAAAGTCTCATATATGAAGTACATCCGTTGTACCAAGTATATTTGTTATATTCATAGGCCAATCTTTTATAAGATTGAAAACAATTTCATAAGTTGAAATTGGTTGTTATTTTCCCATCCTCTTAATCTGAAAAGATTATACAAATGGATTTGAAAAGATCTGCTTACAATTTATGAATTGACGGCTCTCGCTGAAGATTTCATTCATTCTGATGTATGATGCTAGTGATTCTCATTTCATCATAAGGGGGAGTATGAAATAATGAATGAAATGATCAATTCTGGATGATATAAGGGGAGTATGATATAAAAATCAAGGGGGAGTAACATCAAAGGCCGACAAAAGACTCAAAGGAGTGTGTCTGAAGATTATTACTGAAGATTATTCCTGTGCTACAGTGTTTGAGAGTTTTTGAATGGGAAGATCATCTTTACAGAATTTTACTGATAGAGAGTTCTCAAGGAAGAGAATGTTTAATTTTTGAGGAAGAATGTTTGTTCTTTATCTGAAGAAATTCATTTTTGGGGAGAATGTTAGAATCTGTTATCTGAAGAAGATTATTTGAAGATCATATCTTGAAGATCGTTTCTGAAGATTGTTGCTGATTTTATTCTTCATTGTCAAAAAAAGAAGATCGTTGTTGTTATACATTCGAGGGGGAGAATGTTAGAAAATTTTCTCAACAAAAGATCGTCTGAAGATTTCAAAGTGAAGATTGTTTTTGAAGAAGTCATAAAGAGCTTAATATGACAAAGTTCAAACGAGATTCAAAGCGCATAAATTCTTTCAAGCCTAAATATAAAGGGGGAGAATGTTGGGTCTGAATTTCAATGTTAAATTGTATTCATCTTGAAAGTTAATAATTATCTATAATTGTATAGATATCGTGTTTGACTTTGTAAGTAAGTTTGACTTTGACTAGAAGGGTTTTAGTTTGACCCTATATATAGTTTTGTCTTTAGTGTAATTGTAAGGAGAGAGCTCAATTGTAAAATTACGTTCATAATAGAACTGTTGACTATTTGACAAATGCTCTCAACTCTCCTCTCAAGTGTTCTTGAAGATTATCTTAATCTGCCATTGATTCATAGAGATTTATGAAGATTGATCATTTCGTGGACTCACAGAACCCAACAATAACAATGTACATTAATCATAACATTGCAATATTTTACATGTGGTTCCTTGGGTTGCTACGATTTCCAAGTCCATCCCTTGTCTTACAGCTTGTTCTATACTTTCTACATCAATCGTTTTCTTCACTTCAAGCTCTGCATCGACATCAACATGGGTGTCGATGGTGTTTTTGAATTTTGAGAAATAAGTCCTCTTAATTATTCGTTTTCATCCTAACTGAAGTTAGAAGTCATAAGTTATCGAGTGCTTTTATTCATCAAAGGATAATAAAAACCCTAAATTTTGCTAACATACCTCGTAATGGGTTGTGATCGACGGGAAATCCTCCCAAATCAACCATTGTTTGATGAAGATGTTGAACCAGATTTCCAGCCCTTTGATCAGCGAATAGTATGGTGATGGGTAATGGTTTTGAGAGGAGTGATACGTAACTGTTGATTTGATAGATGCGTGTTTGAAATGTTAAATATTTTTTTTCCCAAAAAGCCCCTTTCATCCTTGTTCACTTGGATTTATTAAATTTTAAACTTTAAAAATTAAGTTTTTATCACTATTAATCTTGACCGTTTATTTTAAGATTGGATGGCCAAGATCGGTTAACAAAGTTAACACAAAAACTTTGGTTAACATTTGATCATGGCCCTATATATATAGACTTGGGATCATGTGAGACCAAGAGTTTTTCGTAAGATCTGTAAGACTAATTCTCAACCCTTGGATTAGATCTACAATCTGAACATTCATAATCACAAAATTTCCATGAGACTTCTCAATAATCACAAAATTGCCACCGTGCAACTTTAGACCATTAGATCATTAGCTTATAAAGTTGATCAATGAATATAAATTGGTCTTACGGGTCTCATGAAAAACCCTTGGTCTCACGTGAACCCAACCATATATATATATATATATATATATATATATTGGTTTACTTTGCAAACCAAACTAATTGTACAAACTATACAAACTATCTTCATCATTTGATTTCATTGTTTAATTTAATGAATTGTTCATCTGATGAAATTGTTTCATATAATTCTTGATGAAATTGTCTCTTATATATTTGTTTATATGTAAAAATGAAATTGTTTCAAGTATTTCTCATTTAGATGAGATTTCTTTTCTAAAATTAATACAATGAAGATGATAAAGTAGCATGAAAAACATTTAATGGCAGAGTGATGTGGTTGTAACCTCGTTAGAGTTTGGGAGAGGGCATGGAGATGGGGTTGGTTTTTTTTCTCTTTTCTTTTTGTAAATAAATATTTTAACAAGTTATACATATATTACAAGGACTCGTTAAAAAATAATAAAAAGATAAAAAGATAAAAAGATAAAAAGATAAAAAGACAAAAATGTCCATCATCTAACGTCAATGGACCATTTCTGCAGCAAATCTAAAACTTTAGTGACCATATTTATGATTTCGAAAAGATAATGGCAAAAACCAAAATTTTTGATAAACCTATTAAACGATTATTGTAATTTACCTTTTGAATTTGATGTACTGTGTGGGCCTTGAGGACACAGTGGCAGATGCAGAAAAATATATTGTAGGGGGCATGATATAAGATAATAATAATTAACTTCAATGTCATACAAAAATGATAAAAAGTTACCTCTTACAACTGTGCCCTACGACTCTTCATCTTTTTAAATTGAGTAATTACATCATCATTTGAAACTGTGAGAAGTGCTTCATTTTCTATAGTACATATCATTACAGCATTCAAAAATTCATTACCGATTATGTTGCACAAATCTGACTTCACAATCTTCATAGCAGGAAAACATCTTTAGACTGTTGCAGTAGCAACTGGCAAAACCAAAGCCAACTTCAATAACCGATACACTAGAGGATAGGTTTTATGTTTTTTTGTTTCCACTAGCAATCTAGAGAGCTCGGCAATACCACTCAAATTGGCAAATTTTTCATCTTGACGCACAATCAAATAGTACATGTTAAGTTGTTTCTCAAGCCCTATAGTTTCCATATGACTAAAATCTTGAGGATACAACTCACTCAACTTCAATAAATCTGATACATTGAACTACGAAAATGAATCGCATGGACTTAAAGCTGCTATATTTTTAAGTAATTCAATACTTACCTCACTAAATCGATCCCCAATCTCTTGAATTTGCATGTCCACAACAGTGTTGAAAATATCAAACTTGTAATAATGACAATTGGTGATGTTGGTCCTTTGTCTTCCGTTTTTTTGAATAACGGTCTTCCATATCCAAAGCCTTAATACCATTTGCTTCACAAAAAGAATACATTTTCTTCAAAAGTGGATCAAAACGAGTTTTTCTAAATTGTTGCAATAGTTGTTTGGTTCCTCTTATCAATGAAACCGCTTCCAAAATATCTTGATCCTTTTTTTTAAGATCCCGTGACAACAAGTCTGTGACCTCTAAAATATGAAACATCAAATGCAAATAAATCATGAAATCAAATGTCTTCAAATATGCTTAAATACTAGTTCCTTGAGTGCGACTAAAACCATTATCCCCGTCCTCTTCAACATACATGAGCACTTCAACAACATTTGGAAACAAAGCAATCAAGCTCAAAATGGTTTTGTAATGAGAACCCCAGTGTGTATCTCCGGCTCATATAAGAGAAAGCTCTTGGTATTTCCCTGTTCCACTATAAATTTGACACTTACCAATTGCTTCTTGCACTCTATCTTTGTAACTTTGTCGAAGCATGTCTTTACGCTTGTAAGAAACATTCACCACATTGATCACCATTCTTAATATATTAAAAAGGTTCTCAACTCCGTCATGTTTATTTACAACCGCCACAACAACTAATTGAAGTTGGTGAGCAAAACAATGGATATAATATGCCGAGATATTTTTATTCAAGATCAAGGCCTTTAATCCATTGAACTCACCGCGTATATTGCTTGCTCCGTCATAACCTTGCCCTCTTACCTGTTTCAAACTCAATCCATGTTCAGCAAATAAAGTATCAATGGCAGATTTAAGAATTGAAGAAGATGTCCCCGTCACATGAACAACACCAAAAAAATCTCTCCTTCACAATACCACGTGCATCAACATATCGTAAAACCACCGTCATTTGTTCCTTCTTAGAAACGTCACTAGACTCATCAACTAGCAATGAGAACACATCATCACCAACTTCTTTACGAATGGAGTTAAGTATTTGATTTGTAAAACAAGCAGCAATATCTTTTTGAATACTTGGAGACACCATTTGATTATTCTTTGGAGCATTTTTTAATATAACTTTACCTACATCCTCATTGCAATCACCAATTAAGGCTAATGTTTCTAAGAACATGCCTTTAGAAATAGACATTTCAGATTCATCGTGACCACGAAAGGGCAATGCATTCTTCAACAAGAATCTACAAGTCTTAATTAAAGCATTTAAACGTATTCGGTGCTCATTCTTCTCCTTCTCAGTTTGCTTATGAAAGGCAACGGCAATAGATCGATCTTGGCTCATTAGATCCTCACCTTTCTTAAGTGCTCTATAGTGAAAACTATTAATGTTGCCAACATGAAGACCAAGTCTCTCCGTTTTATTCCAACTATTAAAACCATCTGTTACAAAATCATCACTCCGACATTGTCCTACGTAATGATCTATAAACAAATAACAACACAAACAAAAAGCTCTATCCGTTTTTACACTATACTCCAACCAATTAGCGTATTGATCAAACCAAGCCGGATAAAAACGTCTTCCTTTACTCCCGACATATTTTTTTGGAAATGCATGATCCCGTGGTTGACAAGGTCCTCTAAGCAAATATTTTCTCCTTATTTCATCCCTTTGATTAGGATGATATTCCAAAATCTTTTTCCTATCGGTTGGATCCCAAGGAAGATTGTTCAAATCAATTTCGTAGGGCATCGAAGGAGCGGAGCTCGATTCAGGTGTTGATGTTTTCCTTTTAAAAAATCTTTCCATTTTTTCTAGCAATAACAATAACAAGATAAAAATCAATGGTTTATCTTTATCAATAGTGTTACCCGGCCCAACCCGAGTTACCCGACTTACCCTCCCGATGAAACCCGACCCGAACCGAAAGAAATAGCCCCGAAACCACCCGATATCCGAATCCGAATCCGAATCCGAAATATAACTCGAGTATGGCGGATCGGGTAGGATCTCACGACCCACCCCCCGAACCCGCCCGAAACCCGAACTACCCAAATTACTAAAGACGCGACTTATTATAGATAGATTAGGTCAAAATTGAAGCGACTTATGTTAGGTCAAAATCAAAACTCAAAATTGACGCGATAAGAGAAGAGAATACGGCTAGTCCAAACTAGTAAACTACATAGTACAGACCGCCGACTGACCGACCGACTACTGCCGTCTGACTCCGACCGGCTACTGCCGTCTGTCGACGATTGACTGCTGGGCATTGACGAGTGACGACGATTAACATATTAACAGTAAGGTCCTTCTTCTACTCTTATCCCCCACATTGTTAATTGCTTTAAATGTAAAAAGGAACTCTCCTTAATGGTTTCAATTGTTAATTGCTCTAAATGTAAAAAGAACTCTCCTTAATGGTTTCAATTGTTAATTGCTCTAAACGTAAAAAGTAACTTCTTCCATTCACATTTGTAAATACTATGTCGTGATTGTATAAGGTAAGTCACCGTTCATAATTATGTTTAACTGGTATGTAGATCAGCTGATTATGGCAACACTGTTTCATATGTATTTGATAATTGATACGGAAAAATCAGATGTGTTTGATGGTCTAGTTAGCTTGATGCGTGACCACTATCTTGATGCAAAGCCTAGATCTTTCTCAATTGCAGCTTTATAATGGGAAATTGGGCAGATGGGATATTTAGAACCAGCTGTATACAAGTTTATAAACTTAGGTACAGTTGCTGCAATATGATAACAGGCTCGACTTGATTTTCTTGTTATTATGTTAGGAGGTCGTTTAGCTAAATATCCCTCCATATGTCCTAGCTAAATACTAGTTTGCTAATCATGGTTTAACTCTTTAGATGGATGATCAACTCAGAATAGTTTACAAAAACGAACTTGATACAACAAACAATTCTGGTATGCTAGTCTACCGAAAACTATAAAATTTCAGAAGCCAATGATGCATATTACATGATTACCCTTGTTTTGTTTAATAATAATTGATATGAAATAAGATCATCAAATTCGTATACTGCTTTATGCAACTAGATGTTGATTTATACAGAGCAGCTATGCTTACCAACTAGAGATAAGTTATGTCTTCATACTCGATCGCCTGGATAACTCTACCATCATATATAGTTATATACCCTTTTCATTTTCAATCTGCACCTTTGCACATGATTGGGACTTGGGAGGGTTTTTACTGTTTATTCATCAAATTCTTCTAGCATACTGATATATTGTTATATTATTTAGAACTATAGATGGAAAAAATTAGCACATCTCAGTCCGGAAGTAACAGTCATCAAGCTCCTCCTTTACAATCTAATCCTACCGTAACTCAATTTGTTCCGGAAAGTACAAGGAAAAGGAAAACATTAGAATCCAGATCTCAAGTATGGGACCATTTTGAGAAAATTTTAAACGAGGATGGGTTAGTCATTAAAGGTAAGTGCTTATATCTCTCAAAAGTATATGCAGCTGAGGCTAAAAAGCATGGTACTTCCTCTTTAAATAGCCACATGAAAGCTTGTTTAAAGAATTCACATGCTAAGGAAACAAAGCAGTTAATTCTTGCATTTCAATCTGCAAAATCTGACAATAATGATGGTGCTTTGACCTCTTGGGTTTTTAACCAAGAGGTTGTTCGAAAGATGTTAGCGAAAATGATTATAATGTATGAACTTCCATTTAGGTTTGTTGAAGGGAGGGGTTTTAAACAGTTTGTTGAGGTTGCATGCCCTAGATTTAAGATCCCTTCTAGATGGACAATTAATAGGATATATTCAGTATTTACTTTGAAGAGAAAACCAACCTTAAGAAATTATTTAAGTCAAGCACGCAACGAATTAGTTTGACCACTGATACGTGGACATATGTCCAAAGAATAAAGTATATGTATGTCACTGCACATTTTATTGATAATGAGTTGAAATTAAATAAAAAGGTCATCTCATTTGTGCCTATACATTCACATAAAGGGGAAAGTATAGCTAAGGCCATAGAGAGTTGTTTGCTTGACTGGGGAGTAAAAAATATTTTTTCACCATCACAGTTGATAATGCATCAAGCAATGACATTGCCGTTGGGTTCATGAAGAAAAAGATGGTGAATTGGGGTGGTTCTTCTACTAGGGTAGAGTACATACATATGAGATGCATTGCTCATATTTTTAATTTGGTTGTACAAGATGGATTGAAATTAGCAGATTCATTAGTTAAGAAGATTAGGGATTACATTAGGTGGGTGAGGGGTTCTCCATCTAGGTTGAAGAAGTTTAAAGAACTTACAAAATTGCTTGAAGTGGAAGAGAAAAGTTCCTTATGTCTTGATGTTCCAACTAGATGGAACTCCACCTATATGATGCTTCGAACCGCAATAGGTTACAGACAAGTTTTTGAAACGTATGAGAGTAGTGACAACGCGTTACATTTGGATTTGGGTGATTCGGTGCCTTCATATCTTGATTGGTTATCTGTTGTTTGGTCATTTTTTAAAGACATTTTATGAGATGACAATTAGAATTTATGGATCATTTTATGTCACCTCAAATTCTTTCTACGTCGAAAGTTGAAGAGGTATGTTTATCTTCCCTTAATATTACCTTTACTATTTACTTATAGTTGGTTGTTTACTAACTTTTTGTTTTTGATTTATGAACATGAAATGGGTGTTCAAATGAAAGAGAAGTTCAGTAAATATTGCGGTGATCCAGATAAGATGAACTTCATCATATTTTTTAGCAATATATTGGACCCCAGAGACAAAGTACATCCAAGTCCAGCTCAATCAAATGTATGGTGAGGATCAAGGTAAGTCATGTTTTGAAAAGGTAAAGTCTAAATTGGATATGTTGTTTCAAGAGTATGTGTCAACATATTCCGAACCTTCTACCACTATGATGCCTCCTCCACCCATTAAGTGTGAGAATGTTCCCGTTGGAAGGGTACAATCTAGATTAAAGAACCAACTTAAGAAACAAAAGATGGAAAGTGGGGCTTCACTCAACAAAAAGAGTGGACTTGAACTTTATCTAAGTGAGTCGACCATAGATGAGACAAACGATTTTGATATTTTAAGATGGTGGAAGGCTAATAATGAAAGGTTTCCTATTCTTTCGAAATTGGCTAGAGATGTGCTTGGTGTTCCAATTTCAACTGTGGCATCTGAGTCTACTTTTAGTACTAGTGGCCGGGTCTTAGATAATTTTAGGAGTTCTTTATCTCCTAAAATGGTAGAAGCCCTGAGATGTACACAAGACTGGCTAAGAGGCCCTAGTCAGCCAATTGCAGTTGAAGAAAACATAGTTGATATTGAAAAGTTTGAGAAAGATATGACATTAGTTACGTATTCACTATTTTAGTATTCCTTTTCAACTTGAATTTGTGTATTTATATATTACATACTTCTTTTAATTTGTTTCTATAAACGCAGAAATGATGAATATGAGAATTGGAAGTTCAAGTTCTGTCACTGACCAAGAGGATTCTCTTCCGGTTCCAGCTGTTGATGTAGATGATCTAGAGCTAAATAATATATTGTAGAAGTGGCCACTTTGAATTTTGAAAGGTATTTTATTTCTTTGTACAACCTCTTGTATTTTATGTTACTTTAGCAGTTTTCCTCAATATTTCAGGACTACTGATCTAAGTGAAGAACATATGTATTGGTGTGAAGACAAGATGACCAAAGTGAGTTTGTGATGGGAAACTACAAAGAGATTGAAGATTCTTTCCCACTTCTCTTTCCTGCACATTATCTTTCCCACTTTTTGGACAATAAACCAATCATAATATAGTGACTTCAAGTTGATCGATGGCTTGTTTGTTTTTAATTTTGCTTGTTTGCTGTCATTATTTGGTTTTTTGTTGTTTGTAATATTGCTGACCTTTATAGTAAGTAGTCTACCACTGCTTTTGTAACCAGAAAAAAGTATACCTTGATGGAAAATGTTATTGGCAGAGGGGCTACCATGTATTTGGCCTTCATTGCATGCAGTTTGGCACTTTGGCTATGATCTTGGACAGGGTGGAAGCCAATCCAGGAATAAAGGTAAGCATCCATATCAAGTCATTCTATTTAAAAATTGGTGATTAATTACACATCCTATTTAAAAATTGATGATTAGTTTCTTCTGTTGTTAAGATATGTCATTGCAGATTATAACCAAATGAAACGAGTCCAACGCAGGGTGCATACTATAAAGCACAGGGTCAGCAACCTGGATCGTTTCCGAGGCCTCCATATACGGTTCCTTCTCCTTACCCTCCTTATCAAAGTGGCACAATGCAAGTTTTAGGTATCATGACAACAATAAGTTCTTAAGGATTTGTTTTTAATTTTGCTTCTATGTACTCTTAGTGGGTATTATAAACAATGACTTTGTCTTTGTCCTGAATGGTTTTTTGGTTTCCATTTAATAATATTGTTCGATGGTTTACTAGCCTCATATAGCAGTTGCATCATCTCTTTTTATATATACAATTATATGTACACAAGTTTAAGGCTGTGCAATTTGTTGCTTTGTTGGCTACTATGCTATTCACTCGAACCCGATCCGAAACAGCCCGTACCCGATTAGACCCGAACCCGACCAGACCCGAACCCCGAACAGTATACTTCGGGTTGTGTCTTTGTACCCCGAAACCCGATCGGGTTAGCCATTTCCAGGTCCGACCCGACCCGACCTATGCACAGCCCTAGCTGCAAGCAGGGAAGAACCGAAGAAGAAGAAGAAGCAGGCTGCTCCGCTGCACGCAGGGAAGGGAAGGAACCTTGAAGGCGTGAACTGTTATTGACTTATTGTGTGAAGGAGAAGGACTAAGGAGGGGGCCTTCATAATTTTATTGTTGGGGGCCCAACCAAATTAAATTATAAACTACAAATAAAAAAAATTGGGCTTTCTAAAAAAATTTGTTGGGGGCCCAGGACCCCAATGGCCTCCATGTGCATCCGCCAATGTGAGGACATGTCACCGGTCAAGTCAATGGTCAGCCTCCATCCCCTTGACTTGTTTTAATTGCATTAAAGTCCCTATACACACGTGTGGTGCGCGATGCATAACAGGAGGTTAGTTTGTAACTGTTTTTAGTTTTAGGGTTAAAGGCGTAATTGTTTACAAGTACGGGGTTATTTTGGTCATGAACCCCATCAACAACTACAAAACACAGGGGCTCAAGTTTAATATTTGATAGTGTAGGGGCCCAAAATGCAATATAGAGATAAGTTGGTGGCCAAGAACATAGAAATAAAACCCTCAAAATATCAAGGGTACGAAAATCGCAATCAATTGAAAGATAAAACAGCAGCACGGTACCCGCTAAACCGCCCCCTTTCCCTTTCGTCTATATTCCAAACCAACTACTAGTGCTTTGGAATCTACAAACTGGGAGGTTGGGGAAAGTCGGTTAAAGTTCCAATATTTTCTTCCTCCTTCGATTCAGGAGTCATACTGTGTGATTTACTGTGTGTTCTAGGTACAGAGGGCGGTGGAGTCCGTCTCTGGCGGTAAGAAAGAAGAAGCAGCTTGCAGACTTCGTCTCAAGATAGATTGAATGTGGTCAGTTGATCTTATATTTATATTCTGTTTTGATTTTTGTGGTTTGTTGATATATGCGAACTACTGGTGTCATCAATCACCATGCTGACTGTATTTCCAGTTCGTTTTGATACAAGACTTCTATTTATTTATTTATTTCCGATATCATATGTTTTTTTGTGAACAATGATTTCTCAGGTATAAATTAAGAGCTAGAGTTTGAATGTCATGAACATCTTGAAGAGAAAAATGTACTAACCACGTTAATTTTTATAGCGAGAATTAATAATAGAACCATGGGCGGTGTTAGGTTTCAAACTGATTCCATCAGATTGTGTATACATAGTAGGGTTAACATCAAAAAGTCAAAATGTGGTTCAGTTGTTTATTTATTATCGGATGGGAGTGAGAGATTGTTCACTGATGCTTTGAGTTCTTATATATTTGTGTATGGGTTGTAGGGAATTCTGGAGAAGACACAAAAGGAAGGTCTACGTTTCTCTTGGACTTTGTGGAAGCGGGTATCTACTATACAAGTTTTATGATGCTTACACAAAGAGGATTTCTGAACTCGAGAGACAACTTGCTGATGAGCAAGAGAACGATGAGCTTCTTAAGGCCCAGTAAGATGGTTATACCAAATCCTTTTCCTCTTCTTCATTTTTAGTTGTTCTAGAAGATATTTTGTTATTGTAGAAACAAATTAAATTAGTTTTGTGATCTTTCTGGGAAATGACTGATTGACAGGATGCAAGTGCACTTTGAGAACATTCAAAGAATTGCTAATACAATGACATTGCCTAATGCCATGCTTTATTTAAGTAGCCGGGTTGCAGAAGAGTTGGATCTTTTGCATCTTACAGAGAGGTTGATAAAAGGAAAGGGTCAGCCCAACAGTTTGACACCTTCAGAAAAACTTGAGCTTTGGGATAGGCTTAAAATATTAAGTATGAAGATGTTTAAGCTTTGCACTTCAATTTCATATTTTTATCCTTCTCCGTGGCTAACCTCATTTGAAACCTTCTGTGATATGCAAAGGTTTTACCAGGATGGTGCTGTCTATCTGGGCAATGACGGCGATTAGCTTATATATTAGAATTCAAGTCAACATCTTAGGGAGACATCTATATATAGACACTGCACGTGATCTTGGAGGTTTTCAACCTGTAAGAACTGTTCTTTGCTGTTTTTCTTTTTGTTTTTATCATGTAATTCTCTCATTTAATGTGTTATGCTATATTGCTTCAAAATCATACCAAATTCACGACCATTGCTGTTATGCGTTCCTGTTTAGTACTCTAGTAAATTGATAAAATTGAAATTATTGATGTGACATGATTGCTGGTTTTCTTCTAAAATATAGATGATACACAAGTGGTAATAGGTTTCATATAAGAAATTAGTTGGAGTGTCAAGCAACAGTTAGAAGTTTTTGCATGCATGGAAAACAAGCATATAGGCACTAGTATATAATATCATTACTCATTGTTAACCTCGATTAATATCTTCTACTCCCTTTTCTCATTTAATTATAGTTCTCTATAGTATGCTTTGTACCCCCTGTCCCTTTGCTTGGGAAACCTATCTCCCTTTTCTTTTGCTTTACTACATTGTCTACCTGCTCACTGTCTCACCATATCTTATTCCCTTGTTCTGCAAGCCGGGGTCTTCAGGGAGACAACCTCTCTACTTCTTGGAGTAGTGGTAAGGTTTGCGTACTTCTTATCCTCCAGACCCTACCTCTGCGTGGGTTTACTGGGTTCGTTTAATTTGGTTTGGTTTGTCATTTGGGGAACATCCATTCTAAAGACACTTGATATATGCTGAACACTATAAATCATCACTCTTTTCCTCCACTTTAAAATATAAGACCATTATGGTAGAAGCTTAAAAATACATCATCTCAAGTGAATATATTAACTGCTACAGCTCTCTCTCTTAGTTAATCTGTGCAGATTTATAATTATAATTTCCAGTAATATGAACGCTTCAAAACTGATTTGTAGCTAAATTAACATACAAATAGGGGTTTGTGTAGGTTGATGACTTCTTTTTCCCACAAATCAAGCTTTTGTGTTGCTTTGTAATTCATTTTGGTCATTTGATTTGGGATGCAATAGAAATGGAAATGGAAATGGAAATGTCTTGATTTGGAATGATCAAAGTATGATATATTTAAGCAGCAAAAATTGGGAAGAGAATTAATATGTTCATCAGAATAATTAGAGGTAATGAGTAGTCCTATTTCCAAAAGCGAGAGAAATCCCAGCCCTCTCTTTCCTTTTTTCGCAAAAATTGGGAAGATAATTAATATGTTCATCAGAATAATTAGATTTTTTGAAGGTAATGAGTAGTCTATAGGAGTATATATTTATCAAAACGAGTTCTATGCAATTTACCTTATACTTTATTTTCAAATAATTTCATTACCTTATGATTAACAAGTAATAAGTTCATTACCGTTAACCCATGGTTTTTCCTCGAGTTATGCCATTTTTGCATCAGTAGCTTAATATACAAAGGGAACATGGTAGTAGATAGAATTCTCCACCGGATTATTCCTGTGTATTCTTGTAGGAGAAGCTTTTTTCTCTTTTATTTTGCTTGTAAATGTAAAAGGAGCATACTTGCTCCCACAATTTGCAATTCAACCTAGAAGTTAGCCTGTGGAAGAGTTCACTTCATTGTTGCATTTCTTGGACAGGAATATCATGTCCATGTATGCTCTTCTTCTATATCACTGATAAGTGGAGGTTAGGAGAGCAACACTTTTATGTGCTGTTGGATTAGGCTTGCATTAGTATTATTTATGAAATAATATTCTGAGTGATATCTTCTAATGGTATGAGACATCTCATATGACATGATAACTGATACTCTGATAGAGATCGACCCACTAGCCCAAGCTCAATACTGGATGACTACCCAAGGCCTTGGAAAGTTTATCAATGGAGGAGGAAGGGGACAGGTGTAGGGCTAATATGAGAGGAGTTGTTATGCATGATCACAAGGGGAGGAATACTGTAAATATGGATGCAGTTAGCAATAAGAGTCATGTGAGAATTTAACTTTTCTGTTAGAGTGGTCGGCTTATACAGCTTGGGTAGGAGGACGGTCCAACCTTTGGCTCCCTTATGATTTTATCTTTGTATTCCCTGATTTCCAGTAATCCAATGGTTTAAACCTTCTTTTTAAGTTTGTTTTTTGATATTTCTGTTATCGTCTCTATCAATAATAAATGTTCCTCCATCCTCTACTCTATATATTTGATCCTCACCCCTTAAAAACTCAAGTGATTCACCACTCACAAGTGGCTTGAGCCTATGTGGCTTGAGCTCTAGTTCGTTTAAGTCTGTTCGTCCATGGTTGTTATGTTCATTGTTTATTTGTGTTCGTTTATCATCTTAACGAACGAACATAAACGAACATGAACACAACCATTTCTTAAACGAACGAACACGAACATAAAGTTCGTTACCCTTCGTGTTTGTTTGTTTGGTTAAGTTAAACGAACGAACACGAATAAGCCTTCCTCCGTGTTCGTTTGGTTCGTTTGGTTCGTTTACAGGCAGTTAGAGGGAATTCATTACTGGATGGGTTCGACTCCTACTCACAGTTACAAAAGATTGTCCTTGGCCTTGAGACAAATCCTCTCTCCCCTCCTGGCTTCACTTTGTCTAATGGAAAACTATATCACAAAGCGAAACTCGTTATTCCTTCGACCTCCAATGGATACTGAAGTTGATTGCCAATTTCCATAATAGCCCAAGTGGGGCCATTCGGGTTTTTACTGAACATATAAGCGTCTGGCCTCACAGCTTTATTGGTTGGGGATGACAAAGACAAATAAAGCCTACGTCCAAGCTTGTGACATTTGTCAACGATTTGAAGCTTCTACTCTCGCCCCTGGTGGTCTTCTGCAGCCCCTCTCTATTCCCTCAGCTGTTTTGGAAGATATCTCACTAGACTTTATCACAGGTTTACCGAAATTTATAGGGTACGAGGCTGTTTTGGTTGTGGTTGACTGACTTCCCAAATATTGCCATTTTATTCCTCTCAAACACCCTCTTTCGGCTTGTTTACTTGCTGAGATATTCCTTCGCGAGATTATTCGTCTTCATGGGATCCCTAAGTCGATACTCAGTGACCTTAAACCCTTGTTCTTAGGAAAATTCTAGCAGGAAATCTTCGCCCTTTAGGGCAGCCATCTCAAACTCAGCTCCGCTTATCACCCTGAAACTGACAGCCAGACCAAAGATGTGAATCGTAGCCTCGAAACTTACCTTTGTTGCTTCGCTGTCGAGGAGCCAAGACATGGTTCTTTTTGGCTTTGGTAGGCCGAATTTTGGCACAACTTCTCCTATCACTGTGTCCACCAACGCCACCCCTTTGAAATTGTTTATGGTAGATCACCCCCAACAATTTTACAATTACCTCTGGAGAAATTCCCTGTGTGAAGCTGTTGCAAGCGATCTGGCTGACCGAGATGAAGCTCTCCGACAACTTAAGTACCACCTGACTCGAGCTCAAGCACAGATGAAGTCTGGTGCTGACAAACATAGGCCTGATGTGGAATTTTTAGTGGGTGATTATGTGTTCCTTAAACTTCGCCCACATCGACAACAATCTGTGGTGAGACTGATCAACCAGACAACAGCTTGTTACTATGGCCCTTTTCACATCCTTGCTAAAGTAGGCTCTGTGGCATATAAACTCCAATTACCCGACTCGGCTAAAATACACCTGGTTTTCCACATTTCTTTCCTAAAATAAACTATTGGAAAACATCCGGTTGAGGTCTCTCTTCCTCCTGGAATGAGGTGGATTCTGCTACCCCTTCACTCGTTTCGCCGTCTTTCCACACGCATGATTTCCGCAAATGGTACTCAAGCTCAACAATGGCTGATTTAGTGGGAAAGTGGTAGCATTGAAGAGGCTACTTGGGAGGATGCCAACACCATTCAATCTCAGTTCCTTGATTTCAGGTTCGAGGACAAGCCTGCCCTTCAAAATGGCGGCAATGATAGAGATCGGCTCACTAGCCCAAGCCGAATACTTGGATGACAACCCAAGGCCTTGGAAAGTTTATCAACGGAGGAGGAAGGGGACAGGTGCAGGGCTAATATGAGAGGAGTTGTTATGCATGCTCATGAAGGGAGGAATATTATAAATATGGATGCAGTTAGCAATAAGGGGTCATGTGAGAATATAACTTTTCTGTTAGAGTGGTCGGCTTATACAGCTTGGGCACAGTCCAACCTCTGGCTCCCTTCTGATTTGATCTTTGTATTTCCTGGTTTCCAGTAATCCAATGGCTTAACTCTTTCTGTTCCAGTTTGTTGTTTGATATTTCTGTTATCGTCTCTATCAATAACCTGTTGGTGGTTGTCATGTGCATGACCAGCTTGTATTACTTAGTTCGATACTAAAAGTCAGAAATAATTAGTGGAGTTGGACTTTGTTCGAGAATATTAAATTATTAGAAAACGAGGGGTTAGCATTTCATATCATTGGGTTTGATGCTTTGTTTAAACAACATACTTGCAATGATGGAAAAAACCCTCAAGTTGGTAACACTTTTAAGAGAACCACTATAGCTAGCCCAAAAGTTGAAGAAAACTTGGTGAACAAGATTTTTAAAACTTTGTCATTAAGGTTAGAGCTGCAAAAGCAGGATCATGTGCAAACATATTGTGTATGGTTATGCAGAAAAGGGGTGCTATTAATATAATATATAATAGGGGACCAGTTAATTCTAATGATAGTAATCAATCTCTCATCTTATATCTTCGTTCGAGCTCTTGCTATTTACTTGAAAGTAGAATTTCATAATCTTGTTTCTACAGGAGGATGCCGATTTGATCGAGAGAACAGACGAGCAACAGTTTTTGGCAAGTGCTGATTTTCTTTCAAGTCATAGAATTCCGGCACTGATATCCAATATGCAAGCTGCTGCGACTGAAGTTCTCAGAGGGTAAGGATTATGTTTTTAAGTATTGCTCAACCTACGTCTAGTTCTTAATAAAGTTTATGGTAGGGCGACGAGTGCACGGGGGAGTTTCTTTTATATAAAAGGTGAATGAAGTACACAAACAATGCTCACTCTTATAATCCATTTGCAATGTCTCTCCTTGGTGTTTATCTTGTGATTCCTTAGAATGCTAAGAATATAGTTCCATTTTTTTTTGAGTTACCTATAGGGAGCAGACATAAACCAATGGAGTATACTTATAATAGCTGGACTTGTTACATAAGTTCCTCAACGGACCTTTTGTCCTTTTTTGCGTCATGCATTCAACATTCCAACCTCTTGGCTCTTGCACCAATTTCCCTGTCTCGATCATAGGTCAGTTCATTGGACTCTAGTATACCACATTCAGATAAAGGAACTAGGACTTGAAGTGACTGTGATTCCTCAAACCATGGTAAGTATTGGAGTCTTTGGCGATCTACAACATCAACATGTAGAGATGAAGCTCTCTAGGGACTATACCTCTAGAGTCATAAATCGTGTTTACCTACAATATCATCAATGTAGGCTAATATAATCCACCTGCCTAGTGGTTTTCTGTAAAAGAATGTCTACTCGTATTCTCTATAGAGATACCGAATTGGATAACGTGCGAAGTGACCAAACCAAGCTGTAGGAGGCTATTCCAAGGATCGTTGAAACTGATCAGATCTTTGAAGCATTGTTCTTAATTGTCACTAATCTATATAAACCTGTTAAAGAATTTCTTTAAAAATAACATTCTTCATATCCAGTTGGTGGAATGACCATTAGTAGCAGCTGGGTCAATTCAGACTCGAAAAGAGGTCTTTTTGGCCACACAGAGATCTCATAATCAATTTCATGTTCTTGAGAATGCTCTTCTTAGATACCAAACATGCTTTGTGGGGATTTTTTTTTTGGGGGGGGGGGGGGAGAGCTATTCTGATGAAGCGCCACAGGGGGAATCCATTCCATTTTTACTGTGTTCTCCTGAACGAACACACTCCAGGACCTTGATACATTCTTTTTAAGTTCATCTGTTTTCTCTTTGATGGCTTTGCATCGGTTTGGAGCAGAAGATAACTCTTGTTTGGAGTAAGGTAATTGTATACAATACTGACCAAGTAAGAATTCCCAAGACAGTATGCATGGCATACCTCAAAGGCTCAAACTTCTTTCTGTTAGTGTAAAAATAAAAAATAAATGAAAATAAAAATAAAAACTAAAAGAATTTGTAATGGTCTTGAATACTCAGATTTTCTTTTTGTTAATCTTAACGTGTACTCATGTCAGGAAACTCGGGTCATCCACTGAGCGTGTTTGGTGTAAGCATGCTGCACGCATGAGCTTGTTCAAGTAGATAGTAAACATGAAATGGAGCATTACTGTAGGGTGTGGTTGAGTTTCAAGTTGGGGATCATGCTGGTTGCTGGCTGAGTATTGGTTCTAAATCATGCAAGGTGTCTAGCTTTTGTATCTGGTCGTACGTGAGAGTTTGGGGGTAGAGTCATGATAGTCATGTTCCAGAGCCAAGTTGTCAGGGACAGTATTGGAAGGATGTTGCCATCGTTCAATATAGAACATTGTGACTAGGATGTACATGTGGTTGAAGGGAATCCATTGATTTGAGATCGAGACTATAAATTCAGAATAGTTCAATATAGGGACATATGGAGAGGCTCAGATACTACATATGTTATGAGAACGATAAAACCTGACATTAGTAAAATGAAATCTCCTAAGAATAGGATTTTAGCATCAACAACATTTTTTATAACAAAATATATTTAAGAAATTGGGTCATTGTGAAAAAAACATACACATCCAAAGATGCTGGTTTATACATGGAAAGGAGGTGCTGATGGGCAGAGGGCATTAGCACTAAGCTGGATGGATAGAGCAGATGAGGATGTTGTATTTGTTATTGAAATTGTTGTAGGGACCACATGAACCCAAAACTGGTGGGGAACATCATGATGACTTGATGACATATGCTTACATGAACCGCCTCACACGTTTTTGCGTTCAGTCATCCATTGGGCTAAGGATTCGCACATGATGATTCATGTAATATCCAATCCTGTGACATGGACTCTAACTTCGGATCTAATATATTCTTTTGTGTTATTACATGTCTTTTTAATAATGGAAATCTTGTCTGCCTCTCCTTTATCATTTAATAGAATTTTGACCATTGGATCAAACTGATTTTTCGCATAGGTGTAAAATTCACTGAAATAAATAATATTTCATTTGTAGGTTCGATTACATAAAACACAAGTTACCAGGTGGTATCTTTTAAAGCTAAAGTCACACCCGAGAGGGCACTCCTAGGAGGATAGGGATTGCAAGTGTGCTTTTTCCAAATAGATCCTTACAAAGTTTCAAAGAGTCTCTAGAATGGCTTAGAATTGCAAACAGTCCTAAAAATTTCTGTAACTTGCTCAGCTGCACCTGGTTTTTTCAAATCATTGCCGTGGCAGCAGATATGCCTGTCAGCAGGAAAATGCCACGTCAGCGATTGTATACAATGCCCACTTCAGGACGCTAAAACTTGAGATTAGGATTCTTGAATCTGGTTTTGTGAATAGTAAATCACAAAACGGAACTGGCAGATGCAGAGCATCAATAAGAAAACTTGAACAGGGAGAAAAGGATCAAGCAAGGGAGCAGGGCAAACACATTTCATATCAACAGATCACAAGGTCGTAAAAACAGGGGAAAAGTAAAAATGGAACATGGTGACAGTTGCAGAGACAGAAACAGAAACAGGTGCAAATCGCAATATCACGCCACGACCAAATTATTAAAGGCAAATTCATGTAGTATGTTTGGACACCGAACATTAAGCAATAATGCTGGCATTGGTTCTAAACGAACCCGAAACAGGTCGTGAAGCCATTGGAAGGTCTCCAGCAAGGGACTGCTTGCAGCAAGTGAAAATGCTATGTAAATAAAATGCATCAAGTGGGCTGGTGGGCCAAGAAACATATATAAAAGAAGACGTAGATAGATACAAAAATAACAGAAATCTGAATATACTTCCAGCTTTGATCCTGAATGTTAAGCGAATGTCGAAGGGGGGATCAATATATAATTTGCTTTCGACAGGGTTTCTGCATTTTAGAACTTGCCTTTATTTCCATTGCCATATTACCATGAGCATATAAACACCATCACTTACCATAAATGACTTCCACGAACTTTTCATTTATGTGATATGAATATAATTATTGGTCTCACTTCTAGTCAAATAGTTTTTTCTTTATACTATATTGCATATAAAAATTTGTACTTCCAGAATTGTGTGTACTGAATGGGCTATCACAATTTCATTTAACTCTTCTAAATGTTCTTATTTGCAGAAAGCAGCTGAGGGATATCTTCAATTCTACTGTGCTTCATGAAACCATTATGCAGATATTGAACATGTTCATGAGCACGGGAAGGCCTCATCACTGGGTGGATTATTTGATGCCCGAGGATGTGAGATTCTACAAATCAGTTGAATCCTCTGGCAGTGATAGCCCTAATGTTTCTGATGTCACTAAATTAGATCTACTAATGGTGGAGACACGTACAGTTTTATCAAGGTAGTTCATTCTCTGACTATTTCCAATTATTTAGTTCAGAAAGATGGCACTAAATGCAAATGTCTCATGTGGCGAGAGGTTTAGCCCGTGGATTAATACATTTCATTTCTATCAGTTGCTTTACCAATGGTGCCTGTGTCTAAATGGTGCACTATGGATTAAGTTAGGACTTAGGTCCTAAGGCCAGGAATTTTCTGCCCATTTGTGACTTTGAAAGGAAGTCAAGGCAGATCATTTGCAGTGACCTATTTCACATATTAATGTTTTTTTAGAAGGGCTAATTTTTATTATTTGAAACTGAATACATATTGACAAAAATCAGAAGCAAGTTCACGCCTGAAGTTGTTAGAACCCAAGTGTTTCTGTTTCTATGGCTTTAGAGAAAGTTTGGGTGCTAAATGTTTGTAGTTGTTATACTTATCATCATGTTAGATAGGTTTACAGAGTTTTTGTCTATTCTTTAACTTTTCTTTTTAACCAAGGATAATTATTTCAGAATTATTGTATCCAGGTGAGACTTAATGATTCAAAGCCTTAGTTGCCTTTTTGTGCACTTAGTTTACGATCTATACTTACTTTTGGAAAGACTTGGGGGCTGTTTACTAATACTTACCAGTAAGCGCTTATCGGTATCACTTACCTTACCAATTGAGCATGGCAATGACCAATAATCTTAATCGGTGAGAGGCATAGCAAGGACCGAGAGTCTTACCTGTAAGTGAGGGAAAGAACTCTTATCTGGTAAGCGCTTACCGGGTTTACGGCGCTTACCAACAATCCATTTAGATGGCTGGGAATGTTACACGATAAGGTCAGTAAGGGTGATGTCTCTTGCCAGTAGTTGCTTAAATGGTAAATATTTGGTAAATGGTTCCTTAGTAAACTGCACCTGAGAGGGTGAATTTTATTTTCCGCTGATCCATTGACACCCATTGGTAATTTACTAGACATGCCATGAGTGAGATTTGAATTCATGACCTTCATTACATACTGAGGATATGTTTGACAAATTAAGTCATAAGCTAACTCTTGGTTGAAAAGCTAGATGTCAGCTAAAATGGCTAGCTGTTAGCTGGAGAACTTGTCGTTGGCTAATAAGATGATAAACTTACCAAGTTTGATAAAAACTAGCTTATAAACTAGATGACAAAGTAAAATTACTTAAATAAGATGTGGTGTTTTTGTTCATTTTTGTAAAATTTGAGGGTCATGATAGAAAACAAAGTGAAAAAGAACCCCGGAGCTTGAAACACTATCAAAAGTAGGTCTGAAAAAAGCTATAGCTTATCAGCTACTTTATGACTTACCAAACAGGTATTTTTCAATAAGATCAAATAAATAAGAAACATGGGCTTGGTTTCAGGTTCTGCAGTGATGATGAGAAGTTGAGTATTATAAACTAAACTTAATATTTTTTGTTTTTGTTTTTGTAGTTCTGAATTTGGTAATATTCTAGACATGTCAGTGAGACAAGTGGTGGATGGACTAACAGAAGACATCAACTTACAGTTTGGAGATGGCAATTTATCGGGTGGGATACCGCTGGCCAAACTTCTTCCACGGGTTGCACAGATTAGTCCACAGCTGCTCGAGGAACCAAGCCGCAACAAGTTTACTCACATCATTCAAAACATACCTGAAGTTGAAGTTTTCTTCACTCTACTCTACACAAACATGTCATAAATCTGGTGAGCACTTTCTTTTCTTGTACCATTATGATTATTTCTTCTCAGCTTAAATGGATGATGAACAAGACCATAGAAATGCATGCTTGTATTCAACTGCTTGCTTCTTGTTGGTTATCGTTTCTAATTCTCTCCTCGGCGTGTATAATAAGTAATTAAGCTTTTCATGCACGCGTTACTTGTTATATCCTCGTTCATGTATCATCGCGATTGTTGTGTATTTTTTTGCTTAATTTAATGTTACCCATATTGGATATAATTTTAAGGTTTGTTGGATATTTTGTGGTTGGGCTATTTTTGCATGAAAACTACATGTATCGTTCGTTCTTGCATATGACTTGTATTTTTGATCCTACATCATAGGTAAAAAGACCAAAAGCCCCACACGCACCAAATACTTTAAAAAATAAGCCCCACACCATGATCAATGTATAAAAAATGAACATACTATGTTGATGTTAGATAATGTCTCAAAATCTATTAGGAGGTCATACAAATCCAAATACTTTAGGTTATGTTCGATTCAAATGTTGTGTGCTTGGTATTAGAGGGTCCGAATTGGTTCAAGCTCGGATTTTGGTTGCTTACATTTAAATGGGGACGAATTATAGCCATCGAGTCCCTATTGGTTTTGAATTTTTTAAATAATTAGTTAAGCGACCGATTGTGACTGATGTTTTCCCATAAAAGCCCCACACGCACTCTCCATTGGTCAATAGAGCGGTCCTTAAATGGTCTGAAGTACTATTTCATTTTTTATTGGTTTCGATAAAGTATGTTTGTTTTTATAAACTAATGAATTTCTGGAATATGTATAATTGTCTACCTTATTCATTTGAATATTGTATTATTATAATTTACGAAAACATAAGAAGACCCTTTTACAATATCTCTATTATTCAACTTTGAACTAAAACCCAATTGGGTTTTATATAAACCATATCATTATCTAATGACTTAAAACAAATGGTTTTGTAAACCAAATGTCTTGTTCAATAACAAATGACAGGTAAATAGGAGTTCTTTAAAAAAAGACAAAGATGTTAACTTCTAAACAACAATTTAACATAATTTATAGAGAACTAAAATTTTAAATGCAATTCTATCCATTATGACTTGATGAAATAGCAATCGAACAACCTCTTAAACAGTTTACAAGTATGCTTATATAGATATATATACTAGAAGGTAACTCGTGCAATACAGCGAGACATATCTTGACTTTAATGTTTTGGTTTATTTTTTGTTTCTGTCGATGTTATAAAATGGTTTATGTGATTTTAAAAAAAGCGATATTTTTTTTATTTTTGAAGAAAATATGAATTTGAAGATATCTTAAAAACTTGAAAAAAAATATATAGATATTAATATCAAATTAACTATTTAAAAGTTCTTGTTTTTCATAATTTCTTTAATTTTAATTTTTTATATAATTTAATTTATACTAAATAACGAATTAATAACGAATTAATTTAATTTTGGTTTAATAATACAAGCTTTTATAAAAACTATAATTAAGTATTATGTTATGAGTCAATGATTATCTTAATTATATTTTAGTTTTTTTTATATTTAAAAAAATGAGATGTTTATCCTTATTTGATTATGTTTATTTGTTGTTAGTTACACGGATTTAAATATGGATCTTTAATAAGTTGTACTTGAGCACAATTTAATTGTAATCTTGAATTTTAAGTAATGTGCATCAATAAACAATACTTTACGTATAAAAATGGTTTTTAAGAGTTCTTTTCAAATGCTTTACAATATATTATACACACATGTATATAGATTTGAGATTATGTGAGACAAAATTGTTTTTATGAGACAAGTGAGACACCATTTTTACATTTGAAACTTCATAGTAAAACACTGTGAAGGTTCAACTTTTTTTACCTTCACAACATTTGTGAAGTTTCAAGTGTGAAAAATGTTCTCACATGTCTCAAGAAAACAATCTTGTCTCACGTGAACCCGAACCTATACATATATATATATATACATATATATATATATACATATACATACATATATACATATACATATACATACATATATATATACACACACTATATCATATCTAATTGAAAAAATATTATAGTAAATGGACTTATCTAGGTGGACCAATATCTCATGATCCATTCATATCAATATTAAAATCAATATTAGTATATGTATAAGTCGATTTACTAAAATGTTTTTTCAATTAGATCAACGAATGCATCAAACTAAAATATACTTTTTTCCATTCTTATTTTGGGTTTAAATTATTTTCAAAAATTGTCTTACACTATTATACGAATGTAAAAAGTAGACACTAAATTTTATCTTAGAAAAAAAAAACTAAATAGTTTAAGATGCTTTATCACCGACACCAAATTATTACAGTATTTCATGCAGTCGAAAGAGACACTGTAACAAAAATTGAGCCATCATAGAAAATGGTTCTTGGATTTTATATTTTATAAGAACTTATGACTATACAAGAATCTTTGTCCCATAATAAAGATTCTTATAAAAACCTTAACAAAAGAACCTCCATTGTTGATGCTCTTAGTTTTAAAACGATCATTTAACAAATGGTGATGTGCTAAATGGACGTTTGTGAACCATAAAGGTAGTGCCTGATTGGTTTGATCTTGGCTCCAAAGGTCAAAAATACGAGGAGGTCCCAGGTTTAAATCAAAGGAGAAATAAAAATCCCCTTGTGGTTATGGATGTTTAAATGCAGTGACTCTGAGGTATTTGCAAAGCAGGTGGTCGCCCTGGGATTAATCGGCTCGCATAGCGGGTTGAATATCTAGGTTAATAAAAAAAATGAGACGTTTTGTGGTAAAACTAGGAAAAAAAAAGAAGTTATGAGATTATGAAGTTTTTGTTATCTGCTAAATTATGTACCAAAATGAATGACAAGAATGCGTTTTATAGATGTTATAACCAATTACTGGTTTAAAGTAGTCACTTAAGGTTAATATTTTCATGTTAACTTACGTTCATATATGTTGCTTATGCAATAATGTTAATTTATGTGAATTTTCCTTAACAAAATGACTTCCACGATTCATTTGAAAAAAAGAATTCCTCTACGATCCAGATTCTAGGGTTGAGTTTTCATGAAATGATTTTTTTGATGAGAACATGAGAACAAAATCTTCATCTACTTTCATTTACCTTCATTTACATAAAAATCATTTACCTATTTTTATGTAGTCATCAAAACCTTAACAAATTCATGCTTGTAAAAGTAACTGAAAATATGTAAAAGTTTGTGAAGTTGACGGAAAGTAAAAAAGATAAATGTGAAAACTAAGGTAGATGAAGGATTGGAATATTTTTTTTGTTAACTATCAATTGAAGGTAGTTTAGAGGGTTGCGTATTTTTTAGCCATTAGATTAAAAAAACCAGCTCATCCAAAGACTTAGAAATGTTCTCATCATTCTCGTCAAAACTCCATTCTCACACAATCCTAAGTGTTCATGCGTGTGAGTGTATGTGTTTGTGTGTGTGTATATATATATATATATAGAGAGAGAGAGAGAGAGATGAGCAATCAAATAAAAACCACCTCCATTTGTGTAAACCGTGTAAACCAATCTCACTCATCCATTTTTTTGATCAATGGTTAAGATTAATCAAGGTTATTTAAGGAAATTAAACATAAAAAAAATTGAAAATACATTTTATAATACCGATAAGGGCAAAAGGGTAAAACCAAATATTCATTTATTCAAGGAAACCATATCATGTGTATCATATTATTAATGAAACTAATCTATTTTTTGTAAAGTAATTTATTATTTTTATGTTAACATTTATTATTATTAATGAAACTAATTTATTTTTCATCTTGCAATTATTTCATGACGAACCGCCTACATTATGCACCCGTTTCATTTTTCATTTCATCTACTGAATCGATCACCTACACCATCACTGAAACGGGTTTCACCATGAAAGCAGTTCACCACTCATTGTTCAATTACACCATGAATCAGTTTCACCTTCATGAAACTTGTTTCATGTAAATTAATTTTTTTATTTCACTCATGATTTGATGCATTCTTTCCTTTACTCCTTACAATCTTCAAGATTCTGGAGCATATTACAATCTTCAAGATCCCGAAGCAGATTATCATGTACCCGTTTCATCATGCAATTATTTCATGACGAACCAAATAAATTATGCACCGTTTCATATTCCATTTTTTCTACTAAACGGATCAACTACACCATCACTGAAACGTGGTTCACCATGAAACGATTTCATATTACTCATGAATCAATTACAACATGAACCAGTTTCACCTTCATKAAACCTGTTTCATTAACATTATTTTTTTAATTTGAACCAKAATTTACGATTTCATTCCATAATGCAATTCAACCTTCAAGACCCRTTTGCAGATTCAATCTCATAACAATATATCAAATTCAAATTTTTAATATTATAATATAATTAAATATYTAAATGTTACCATTTATACAATTTCCTTTATTACGTTTTCTTAATTAAGATTTATTAATAACTTTCATATTTAATAGAAAATATTGTAAATGACCGAAATACCCTTATTGATTAAATTTAATTAGAAAAAAATGGAATTTTTCTATTGGTCGAAATTGGTTTACACAGTTTCTTAGAAATGCACGGTTTTCATTTGAACGTGCCCATATATATATGAGATTGATCAAATGAGAATTACAAAAAAAGTTGAGAACCGTGAAAACCAACTTTCATTTGTTGTTTCATATTGTAAAATAATGCATGTGAAAAAATAGTATTGTTTCACAATATGATTTTTTTAATGTCTACTTTTAGTATTTTTTTTTTGTTTCACAAACAATACTTATATTCACATGCATTGTTTTTCGGTGTAAAACAACACATGATCAATGATTCTCACGATTCTCAACATTTTTGTAATTCTTGTTTGATTATGCCCTTATAGGGGGGCTTCATTTGTGTCACGCCTCGATTTTTTTTTCTTTTTTTCTCGAGTGCCGTGATGTCATTCTTAATAATTTATGTCATGAACAAAAATACAAACTTAAAATTTCAAACACACATAATGTGTTTAACATAATAAGTTACATAATTGCGGAAGCGTAAAATATTTTAACGTAATCAATGCTAATTAAAATATCTAATCAAACATGATTTAAAACATAGTCTTGTCTTTCTTCATTCAACTCGTCTACTGACAAATGACACCTGAGATATATACATGTATAGTATAAGCAAAAAGCATAGTGAATACAATATGGTTTCATGAT